AAATCATGTGTTTGGACTAACAGGCATGATGGAAAGGGGCAGTAAATAGAATTACCTTGACTAATTATGAGTAAGGTCAGGTCTGTAATACAACATATATGGGTTTTTTTTCACTTGAAACAAACATGATTTATTGTTGTACACCTCCTAGAAAGCGCTTAGGAAGAATATTTAGATGAATACCCAAGAGACTGGGGGAAGTACTCTTAAATAAAAGGGTGTGTAATTTGAGATAGAAAGCCAGACAGCAAGGCAGGGAAGTTTCTCAGAAGAGCAGAACACGCTTGAGAACTTAGTCTTAAGAGGAATGGACTAAATCAAGTTTTTACTAGATGACTTAAGTCCAGATTAGTGCAGACACTCAACAAATACATGCATTTTGAATTTCATTTCCTACAGAAGGAAGAGAAGCTGAGCTACCTACATCTGTCTCACAAAGGGAATGGAGAACTGTTGGAAAAGACCTCGAAATGCATTTGACATTCCTCTTTTTTTTCCTTTACTCTTCACTGACACTCTGGTGATGGTGTGCACCTGTTAAAACACATTTCCTCTATACTACCCACACGCTATGAAATGGTCCAAAAGATCCATTGATTTATTACACAGTATAACTCAACCATTTCTCTTTTTAGCATTCAGATTTCAAGCATGAAAATAATATTAGTAATAGTGATATGAACTGCTGATTACCTTTTGTTTCCAAGTCAGGGAAATTCTGCAGTCTGTTTCTCATACGATTTACAGTTTGAACTTTAAAGACAACAGGGACAGGATGAGGCCCCAAGGAATTCCACATTTCCTCTGGAGTCTTCTCACCAATGTTGTTCCACACAACGATTACTTTATGGAGGTGGGGGATTGCTTGATAATGATTTAAAAGCTTTAGCAGTAAGTCAGTTCTGTTGTACGTCTGCATAATAAGAGTGAATGAATCCAAGGCAGACTGACTCTGGGTTTTTGGTTCCCTTCTCGAATTGGGCAGTTTGTCATCTTTGATAGTGGGAAGCAAAGCTGTTAAAGCACCTGCCACAAGAAGCAAGACGATGATCACCACAGAGGTGAAGCGTAGTAGGCGGATTCCCATAACTCTTCCTGGAAGCTTACAGAAGTGAAAACACCTTTAAAACAAGTAACAGGAAAGGAAGTCAATAAACCTACGTACGGTTTTCTCTCTTGATCGAAACTCCCAAAATATTAAGTACATTTTCATTTAAGTAAGTAAATAAGGAGAACTTCAGCACATCAGCAAATTACTTTCAACTATCAAGACAGGTGTTTCTGGTACTCAGTTGCTGTGTTTACTTGCTTTTCACGTTTTTTTGGTCAATTTTGGATTTCATTGTTTTGTGAAAGTAATCTAGAATAGCTCTTTAGAGTGTTCATTGTTTCCTATTTCCTTAGTACTACATTTTTGATTGAACATTTATGTACCTCAGCGAATCTATCCAGCTGAAAATAGAAAGATTTGTACAGAGATTCAGTGTTTTCAGCATTGCTGGAGCTCTACCTTAACTGGGAAGCAAAAAGGAGAGAAGGTGCCTTCTCAAAAACTCTGGCAGGAAGGAGGAAATAAAATGCTCATTTTTTTTTCCTGTTGCTCAGGCATCACACAGAAGAAGCAATCTTTATAACTGATTTGCTGGATATGTTCTCAATAGTTTGTATATTTGCTTGATAATGGTAATCAGTACAGAAAATGTGATGCTGATCATACTAAGGTTATAACACACAGGTGGAGCAAAAGAAACATGCCAAATGGAGTAATACAGGAATGCAACAACTTCAGAAACAGCTGAACTGATAAATCTAGAACTGGTGAGAAAATGGCAAGGTCAAATCCTAGGTGCTACCTATCAGCTAACTCTGAGTGCAGATTTAGTTTAAAGCAGAGGTTTCTGGATTCTTGTGATCTTGGAACTGAACAGAAGCTCTTAAAAAGCAGCTTCTAGAAAGACAGCCCCTCAAATGTTCTTCACAGAGTGATAGGATATCCTGAGCTGGAAGGGACTCACGAGGGTCATTGAAGTCCAACTCTTGGCTCGGCACAAGAAAAGCCCCAAAATCCCACCATGTGACTGAGGGCATTTTCCAAACACATCAGGATTGCTGCTGTGATGATCTCCCTAGGGAGCATATTCCAGTGTCCAATCCCCTTCTGGCTAGGATGGTTAGATATTTCCTAATAGCCAACCTAAACCCCTGACAGCTTCATGCCATTCCCTCGAGTCCTGTCACTGCTCACCAGAGATGAGATCGGTGCTTTGCCCGTCCACTTCCCCCAGTTAGGAAGCTGCAGACAGCTGGAGACCTCATAGACCCTTCTCCAGGCTGAACACACCAAGTGAGCTCAGCTGCTCCTCAGATGGTTTCCCTTTCACCATCTTTGTAGCTATTCTTTGGACACTCTCCAATGACTTTATATCTTCAAACTGCATGTTCAACTTGCCACTGATCAGGAAGGACGCCCGTCCCTTTCCCTGGCACTGCTCTCCAGCCTCTCATTCCCCACTCTGTCTGTACATCCAGGGTTGCCCCATTCTAGGTGCTGTTTGGCACTTGTCTTTGTTGCACTTCATACAGTTTTCCTTTTCTTCTTCTTTACTTGCAGGATTAGTACAATTTGAATAGAAGATGAACATTCTAAGCTTGCCACTAACTCATCTATACATATTATTGTAATACCATTACTCATCTATGCATATGATTCATGTTACTATGTGAGTAATTTCTAGGTTTTCAACAGGGAATTCTGATCAAATTCAGTGTTCCAGGACAGCCAAACAAGTACAATTTTTGAGAGAGTATCTGTGTGGTTTTTTTCACAGAATTTTGAATCTTTTTTTTTTCCAAAGTGCAAATACCATGCTTGACAATTTGAATGTAAATTATTTTAGTCTAAAACGCCTCATAACTTACCTCATTGTTACCATGTAGGATTGTTGTCCCGGCTTGTTTTTACAGGGCAGTTGTTTGTGATCTTTGAATCTGCTGGAAATTAAAGGAACTCTGTAACTGCTGATCAACAGTTATCCAGCATTCTTTTACAAGTAAAATTCCTCTCAGTTATTGACTGATATATGCACTTATGGCAATTATACCATCCCTTTTCCTATTGCTCAGTTGAATAATTATCTCTGCCTTCCAATGAACATTCCTGAAAGAAGTCATACACCAGATGGTTATAAAAAAAAGAACAGTCTGTTTCTCTGCTTTTAAAATTGCTGCTTTGTGCCAGTGCAATGTCTGTGTATTCTATCCTCAAGTTCAGCTATGGAGATACAAGTAGATATCCAGAACCTGACAGCTGTTCCTTTGTTCACCAAGCACCACTAAAATATATATTTGGTTACCACAGTCAGGCAAATAAAATAAAATTTTATCCCAATAATATTTTATTTTCTGGATCATCTCCTTCACATTCTCCTTTCACTAAGATTATCAGTTGTATCAGAGGTTTAAGACACAACATTTTGGTCTTCCCCTGAGGTTTGGCAGCTTGGAAAATATGAGTGCAAGCACATAAAAGAAGGATATACAGGATGCAGGGCAGCAGTATAAGAAAGCTGTGCTCCTACGTTGTTGTTCTGGTTGCTTCATTTTATAGAAACAATCATGCTTGACTTCTAAAAACTAAATTAACAGCAGTGGCAACCAAGCATTTATGAGGTCCACGATATCCCCATCAAATGTGCTTTTGAAAAAGTGAACTTCAAATCCTCCTCCAGCAGTTTGCAACCTAGTTGCAACACCCACCAGTGCTATTGTAATGATAAACTAAACTTTAAAAGCATACCTGAAACAGAAATATAAATACTGCTTGCTGTTAATGAGACCTGGCTTGCCATACCTTTTAGTGTTTACAATAGGCGTAGTGATAGGCAGTGATGATATTAGTATATATTCTCAAATAAACGTCTATTTAGGTTTTAAAATTAGCACCACGGCACTTTCCAACAAGCAAACGCAGGTAACTTTTGCCAATTAAGTTATGAAATTGCAATGCCAGATTGACCTCTTTTTAAAAAATACAATATTACCTGCAGACAACACAAAATTGACAAAAATAAAATCCCTCCATCAAAGACCAATATTTGAATTCTTATTCCAAGAAAAAGAAGGATCCCCTCCCGTGGTGGGAAGCACCTCTTAACAGCATCCCGCAGTAGCTGGGTGCAGCCAAGCAGCAGCATCGTCCAGCGCCGCGCAGTATGGTATGGCACGGCACGGCACGGCACAGCACAGCACAGCACAGTATGGCACGGCACAGTATGGCACGGCACAGTATGGCACAGCACCGCGCAGTATGGTATGGCACGGCACAGCATCGCTCAGCATCGCTCAGCACCGCGCAGCATCTCACGACCCGCTCCCTACCCCTCGGCCACAGATTCGCTCACGTTCCGCAGGCGCCGCTATCGCCGCTCCCTCCGGCCGAGCTGTGCTTCCCTGGGGTCACCGGCAGCACGGCAGCGCAGGGCGGAGGAGGTACCGGCCTGGCCCGGCCCCGCCGCTCAGCCCCGCACAAGCCGCTCCGGTGACTCAGGGGCGGCCGTGCGGGACGGCGGCAGCGCTACGGCGGCGCCGCCGTGGTGTCCCGCTTCCTGCGGCGCGTCCCTGCGCTTCCTCCCGGCAGGCTCCGGGTTGTAGTCCAGGGTCCTGCGGCGGGCGGAGCGCTCCGGCGGCTCTGGCTGTCACACACCGAGCGCGCGGCTCCGCCGCCCCCGCCCCGCGCTGCCACAACAGCTGCACCGGGAGCAGCCGGCATCGCAGGCGGGGCGCGAGCGAGCGGCTGGCACGGGACGGGCAAGAGCTCACGTTCGGGGCGTGTTGTGTTTCATTAGCGGGCGGCGCAACCGCGAGCCCGGGCAGCCCCCGCAGCCCCGGGCCGGCCCCCGGCGCGCCCCCTCAGCCCCGGTGCCCGGCGGCGCAGGCGCGGTGGCGGCCGGAAGCGGTGTGTGGGCCGGCCGGGCAGCGCTCCCGCCCCGCCTGCCCGTCCTGCCGGCCCGGCGCGCCGCGGCCCCGCCGCCGGAAAGATGCTGCCCCTCTCCATCAAAGACGATGAGTACAAGCCGCCCAGGCTCAACCTGCTCAGGAAGGTGTCGGGCTGGTTCAGGTGAGTGGCCCAGAGCCGGCCAGGCCGGGCGCTGCTGGCGCCGCGGCCGAGCCCCCGCGGAGGGGCTGTGCCGGCTGGTGCCGAGGCGCCCGGGCTGCCCGGCGAGCGGCTTCGGCCTCCTGGCGCTTTACCGGCGGCCGGTAACCGCGGTGTGCTCCGTGCACAGGTCTATCCTGGCGGACAAGACTTCCCGCAACCTCTTCTCCTTCCTCTGTCTCAACCTCTCCTTCGCCTTCGTGGAGCTGCTCTACGGCATCTGGAGTAACAGGTAAGCGGGGCGGGGGCGCGGCGGGGCGAGCGCGGCTGCAGCGCGCAGGAAGCGGCGCGTCCCGCCCGGCCAGTGCCACGTCTCCTCTCGGCGGGGCCCGGCCTCCTGGCCCGCCGTCCGGAGGGGCGCTCGGCAGAGCCTTGGGGGCCGCTGGAGAGCTTCCCCCGACCGGCACCGCTGTGGTGGGCAGCGACCGGCGCCGCCGTCCCTCTGCCGGGTCCCGGCGACGCGGCGGAGGCGCTCCGGCGGTGGGGCGCGACCCGGAGCGTTGCGGAGGAATGCTGTTTGGAATTGCTGCTACGCTCGGTGCTTCGCTGAGGAGGAAGCCTGGCCTTGGCCCGATTTACGGGACTCGGCGGCTGTAGCTGCTGCTTGCCACAGAGATCCTCTGGTGGGGAGTCTGGCTTTATCCGTAGGTTGATATTTAGATATCGCTGTCTCAAACATCCTTGTCTCGAGGGAGAAACAGGATTTGACACATCCTTGTACAGCTGAGTGGTACTTTACATAGCACCAAAATTCACGAGAGTGGAAAAAATGGAAGAGACTTGACTAAATTGCTACTGAAAAATCTGTAGCGAAATATAAGAAGAAATGCAGAATTACTTCAGTACTGGTGTACAGAATAAAGGTTGAGAACAGACAGTGGTGCTGTATTTCTGTCATGCTTCATTAGTGACAGAGAAGTGTTTTATGATGATATTTCAGTCTCTGTTAATAGTTAGTTCAGAGTGGACTGGTGTGGAAATGTCTTTTAAATCCAGCAGTGTCCTCCTTACCCAAAAGCTGTAATACGGACACAAATTACTGGAGCTCTTAAAAGTCCTGAGTGATTGCAGCGATGTGGATTTGGAAACGGTTAAATCCTAATATTTGCCGTGTTGTTCTGAATCTCTCAAATGACACTATGAAATCCTCAGCTTTGATTACAATAATTGCTGCTGTGGCACTAGAGAGCATGCAGTGCTGTCATGGGCACAGACTATCTTGGCAGCACCCAGACTATTTTGAATGTGTTTGGTTTTGGCTTTGATGTTAATTCACTTTGCAGTTGTGTGAGGGTTGTTATTGAATGTATAGTCTGTCTATTTGAGTATGGATTTTTTTTTTTTCTCTAAAAACTTAGCAGATGTAAATATTTTTCTTAGCTGCTCTGATATAAAGAGCTTTGTGTTCATGTGACTTTGTTCAGATGTCTGTCTTTTTAAGGCCACACTACCAAAAAAATTGTTATTTTTAAAAGTCCTGTATATGAGATAAGTAAACTGAGATACTTTAGTGACACTTACAGAACTTTGTCACTGAAGAATATGGCATATTGGAATTCAGAAAACATTTTTGTTCATACTTGAGATTAAGACTAGGATTTACTGTGTAGCCATTAGTTGAACCTTTTTTTTTAATTTCAAGTCACTAGTTTTGGGTATCTCTAAGTCTAGATTTTGGGCTAGAGCAAAACAGTGTCTTAGCAAGTACTTCTTTAATAGAGAGGGGTAGCAGGGTACCAGAGAATATGATGAGGAATGTCTTCAGTCAAAGCAGATTGGTCATGTCTTGGAAGAGCAAACATGTACCAAGCAAACAAGGAGCCCTATAGGATTCATTTTGTCATTTTGAAGACACAGTTCTGTTGCTCCTCGCATGAGAAATTCTCCTGAGCTTCTGTTTACCAAATAGATTGTTTCCTGAACTCACAGAAGAGTGTTGTCCAGATACTTCTTGAACTCTGTTAGGCTTGGTGATGTGACTACTTCCCTGGGGAGCCTGTTCCAATGCTCAGCCACCCTCTGGGTGAAAAACCTTTTCCTAATGTCTAATCTAAACCTCCTCCGACTCAGCTTCATGCTGTTCCCTCCGGTTCTGTCACTGGTCACGAGTTTGCTGGCTGAGAGCTTGTTTGCTTGTTTAAGGTTGAAATTTGCTACATGTGCACATTTGTTTAATTTGATGTTAAACTAAATCAGCTGTGGAAGAGTCTTTATTTAGACACAGTGTGTTTGAGTACAGGGTTTCTACTAATTTATACTCTGGATGATGTGTTTGGTTCTACAGGAGTTCTTGCATGCATCCCATGTTGCTGGTGGTCCACTGTATTGCTGGTTGTTGACTGGATCACTTGATTACTTTAGTAATCGCCTTGCACCCATTTTTTCTAAGGTCTTGTTACTTTACAGGTCACTTTAATAAAGCCTCAGATGAAGTGAGATTGGTCTCTTACCAGGCTTCCTGCCATTTGTGCAGCTCAATCACTTGTAGCTGTACCTATGATACAGAGCACGGTCATGCCATGAGGTGAATGGCATTGCAGATGCAGTCTGCTGACTCCTGCTGATAAATCCACGTGCCTCTGGCCACCTGGAATTGTTAGCTTAGGTCTTGAAAGTAGCACAGCTGTATTGGTGTTGCACTTAAGGTAAGTCTTGCCTTAGTGAGATTTGCAGGTGTGAGCACACTGCCGTGGTAACTTGCTGCACGATTTCTGGTTCTAGAGCTTGTATGGGATTTTGTTAGAGTAGCAGTCATTATACAATTCTCTTTCCCAGAAGGTTCTATTACAAAAAAAACAAAAACCAGAACCCCCCCCACCAAAACCCGAACACCTCAGAAAGCAGTAGCTCTCTCTGCTTAGCTGTGCTCATTCCATTTAATAATCAGTATAACTTAGGGTTACTGTCATTAATTACCTTCTACCTGAATGTTTCATGTGCTTTGTGGTGGGATTTTTTCCTCACTGGATCTTCCTAACTGCTCAGAACCAAATCTAAAATGAGTTATTTCCCTAAAGATATCACCTGGTTTTGGGGAGGGGGAAGATGTCACCAAAACCCTTCAAGAATTCAATAGCAGATTCCATTTTGCTGCTTCATAAGCATTCAGCCTATGGGTCTTGTTTTAAAGTTTGTTCATAACAGCTTCATCTCTCCTGCTTTGGTGGCTACAGTACCTGGGGACAATATACCATGCCATCATCCCTCTGCCTTTAATGTTGTGTGTAGGTATAACTCTGTATGTGTCCATAAAGTATATACATAAATATGTAGAGCAAGACACGTGGTATTTCCTCTCCTTCAGACCATCTTCTTCCACTGTTGAGTGTTTCATCTGAAACACTTATGATTAATCTCGTAATTGTATTCAGGCTGAAATGGTTTGGCTTTTTAATGTAAGATGGTTGGAACTTTGGCTAATGAAACTTTGTATTTGACTTCAAGGTGGATATGTGTCTATCCTCTAGAACTTGTTAAACCAGTAATTGCTTCCTGTGCTTCAGTTTCCAAGAATTGAGTTGTATATGTAATTATTCTTAGATAACCAAACAACTGGGAAAATGGAACTTTTGGAACTGTTGATTAACAATTGCTCAATAGTACCTCTCTGTCAAATGATTTTTAAAATATGAAGCTTTTTTTTTATGTTTGTTTCAATGCATGTACTTCCCTGCAGACTTACAGAACCTGTTCATGAGTAAATTGGTAAACTTTGGCAAGGCCTGTGTGTGCTGTTAACCCCAGTTTACCTATAGCTTACAAACTGATACAAGTTCTACTGGCTGGCTAACTCATGAACTAATATAAGTTGCTTTGAACTTTTTAGCGTGCTGGTTTACTTTAACTGTTTCTCAATCAAGACTGACAAACAGTTGTGCATTGCTCTTGGAAATAAGCCGTTTAAGATGTGGTCTCTCAGCCTCTGACTCCTTCAGCCTCTAGATCTCAGAGCTGTGTATCTCCTGGTCAGTGCCTTGCCACTGCTAAGGCAAAGATTTAAAGTTGAATTATGTTCATGAGAGATGTGGATGTGGGTAAATCTACTCCAGGAATTTTGATTTGTATCTGTGGAAACCACCTTTCACTATCACCAAAATCATATGCTAGGAGGATTTATTTTGCCAAGCACTCTTCCAAAGTGCCTTCTCTAAGCTGACAAAAGCAATTTTGGCATCATATCTGTGTTGGTGATGAAGCATGGATTTCTCCTCTGTGCTAGCAAAACCTGAAGCTCAGAAACAGTGTATTCTGCTAGTGTGTAAAAGATTAATGTCTGTGGGGGTTTTTTTTTATACTCAACATGTAGCATTTGGAACATAACACTTTCTTCCTGTTTTCTTTCAGTTTAGGTCTAATATCAGATTCTTTTCATATGTTTTTTGACTGTACTGCTCTATTGGCGGGATTAGCAGCTTCAGTAATTTCAAAATGGAGGTCAAACGATGCTTTCTCATATGGGTAAGAAACTTCAGGCTGTTACCTTAATGTGCTGTAGTAAATGCTTAGGTAGTCATTTTTCACTTAAAACAAAAGGTTTTTGCACAATGTGGGAAAACTGTGTTGAAAGTGAGGGTTTTTTCAAGGCGAGCTGTGTAAACATCTGAGCTAATAAAAATAATAAAAATGTGAAGGCATTTCTTTTAGGAAGAAGGTTTATCACTTCCAAGATCTCTCTGATCGTACTAGTGGAAACAAGTTAGAGAGCAGAAAGTTGCCCTACATTGCCAGGTATTAATGGCACAAACTGCCACATCCTGGGTTTGTCCTCACAGTGCAGTGAGGAGCATTACAGGGATTCCCAGACTGCTGGTGACCCACTCCTCCGTTGGAACAGGTAGTTTCAAGTGAAAGGAGCCAAATCTCAGTGATGCTGCATTGGCGATTATAAACCATTGTTCTCAGAACAGCAAGGTTCAGCATGGTGACTGCCATTCACACACATCCTCAGGGCTGAGCTGTGTCATCCCATACTGCCCTTGGTGGATTTACCTGCTGCACCTGGCATCTGACAGGCACTTGGTTCCACTGAACATGGCAGTTGTGCCCTATGAAACAATACTGGTGGTACAATATTATGGACTGGTAATACTCATCACCAGCAAATGAGCTGTAACATTCCCCATAGCATTCTTGTATTCCCCATAGCATTCTTGACCTGTCAGCGTTCAGCTTGCTTAAGTGTGAATCCTATAGTTTGAAACTTAAAGCACAGTTTAATTTAGGTGTAAGCTCCAGTGTGCATAGAAGTCAATTTAGAGAGAAACACACCATGAACTAATTGCAGTGAAAGCACATTCTGTATTAATTACTGCTGAGTATTTAAACAGCTGGTGTTCCATTTATCAGAGAACAGCCGTGCTTTATTGAGTCTGACGTTTGCTACATTGAAATTACATCTTATCTGACACTTGGCAGTTCGTTATTGTAAAATTTTGGTGTTTGAAATAATTAATTTCTACTTAAAACTTTTACTGAAAATCCACCTTCTAGAGGGGAAGCAAATTACTAAGTCTGTTTGATATTAAACATAACACCAGAAAACTTAGATTAGATTTCACATGCTTATCCTAGTTTGTGGCCTCCAAATTACATTTATACCATAACTTTGAGTAGAGATAATCTTAAATCGAAAGATTTTGACGTGTTGAAAGATTTCTTTTGTCTAGATCAGGGAATGGCTGATCTGGATCAGGTCGTTTCTGTCAAAGTACCATGTGGTCAGTTTTATATACTCATCTGTAATTTATATACCATCTTCCATATAGCAAATTCCTGTGTAATGTAACTGGTTGAGAACTAGAAGATTGCACTCCAGTCTCTTAAGTTCTACTTTTCAGCATTCAAATGAAAGTGGTAATATCTGCTATTACTCTGTTTCGTTTCTTACAGTTATGTTCGAGCAGAAGTACTTGCTGGTTTTGTAAATGGTTTATTCCTCATCTTTACAGCATTCTTCATTTTTTCTGAAGGTGTTGAGGTATGTTATGAAACCAATTACACTATTACATTCTATAATGAATATGGATAAACATTTCTGGTTTTAATAGGAATACATTTTTGAAAATTACGAATTGAAAATTTAAATTATGTTCATAATTAATTAGAAAATCTGTGATTTGAACAGAGAATAGGGCCATCAGAAATTGCTGTTTAATGACAGAGAAACATAGCTATTTCAGGGTATCTGTACTAGCTTCTTAAATAGTGTATTTTGTTCATATGTAAAGGCTCTGTGAGATGGAGCCTGTCCTTTTTTTTCAGTCAGCTAAGGATATCTTAGAAGGGTCCTCACTTCTCATTGTTAAAGAACAAATGAGGCCAAGCAAGCAAGGCCCAAACTAGTCATTCAGAGGAGAGAAGTTAGTCATGAGTAACATGCTGAGAAGGTGGACCAGATTATTAAAGAAAGAGCACTGTTCTCCAAATCTTGAAGTCTGATATAAATGGCAAGTAGTAATAGCTTAAACATTTACAAGGGCTCTTTTCTTGCTTTTTTTTTTACATGGTGGTTCAGGTAATAATTTCAAGATTGAAATTTAGACATTAAGAGCAACATCAAGGATTAAGAGTAAAATTGATAGCTATTTTTAAGCAGGTTGAATTAATGCTTTTATTTTTTTAAAGGGAAATACACTATAAATTTGTTTAGACTTCTTGTTCAGAGTAAGTCTGAGTTTTTCTTTTATAAACAGAGAATTGGGAAGAGCTTTTTTTTCCTACATTTAACGTTTTTCTGCATTGATAGGCTTGTAATTGCCTAAAAGCCTGGAAAAACTTCAAATCTAGAAACAGGAGCAAAACTTACTAGAAAAATTTAAAACCATGACAGGATCAAGGGTAATATTGGAACACAATTCTTTTCCTGCTGATCTGAGCTCCCATGCTAAGTATTCTCTTTGCTTGTGATGATGACTCTCTTTCTCTCAATTACTTTAAAATTTTATTGTGCTAAATGTTTTACTGTCTTGCTATTTACTGCCTGTGCCTTTCATCCTTGTGGAGAGATGGTAAATGTTTGTCTCCTCTGCCAGTAGTAATTTACACTCATCAAAACTTAGCTTCAGATGCAAATTGTATTAGGTCTATAATGTCTCATTGAAAAAAAAATTCCAGAGGAAGTAGGGTAAAAAAGAATTGAAAAAAAATCAATCTAGATTTGAGAATTTCTAAAAAATGTCATAACTTGCTCTGAGTTTTCATTTCATTCCCCTCATTGCCTCACCTTTCTAAGGAGAAAGGAAGAAATGGCATTCTAGACTCTTAGAAATCTTACAATCCACATACTGGAATAAACCTGGTGAGTTCCACCACTCAGATGGTGTTGAGAACACATCCCACAGTATAACCAAATCTTATGAAAAAACTGAGCTAGACTCTCAGAATATTCTACTGTACTTTCACAGTTTTAATAATAGAACTTTATTTTCAGACACAGAATTGGTCTTTGTATCATCCCAAAAACTGGAAGTCCTGCATAATTTTAAGCATGTCTATATATATGTTATGTATGATAATGCTCCTGTATCTAGGTAGTTTTGTGGTGCCTTTTAATGATGTAAAAGGATTGTAAAACTCTACATTTGCTCTTTGGTTTGTTTCCTTTGTTTTTTTTAGAGAGCACTTGAGCCTCCCGATGTGCATCATGAGAGACTTCTTCCTGTTTCTATACTGGGATTCATTGTAAACCTTATAGGAATATTTGTTTTTCAGCATGGAGGTCATGGGCATTCACATGGCTCTGGTAGGATTTCCTTTCTGTTTCCTTTCTTGGCAGCCTGTGTTCCAGGGCCTTACTGTGCCCCAGTGAGACCCCCAGTGTTACATTGGATGTCTTGTTAATGGCAATCCCAGCCAAATGTGTCTGTGACCTCTTACTGTGTTGACTTCTGTTTTTTATTACTAGCCCTGATATGCCACTGTTTTACTTCTCATGTTAATATCCATTAATTGGAACACCTAGGAGTCCAGAAGCTGCTTTCTGGAGTTCATGCACTCTCCTGCACCTTATTGAAAAAGATTTGCAGAGCATCTTTTGGACAAACTTAAGCAAGGTTCTGGCTGGAAAATTTAGAAACAGTATTTGAACCAAATTTTAAGAATGAGATGATTCTGCTTCAGATGCTTCTCAACTTAGTGTCTTTTGAATTGAAATGCAGAATTTAGTTGCCTAAATACACATGGTAAACACTCTGAGGTTTTTTTTTCTGCAAAGCCTGTGGGTTTCTCTTTGAGCTTAACATATAAATTTGCATAGACTGGTGGAAGAACATAGTCTTTGGTCTTTAGGCAGAAATCTAAGCTTGAATTTTTAATCTGCAAATGACAGTCAATTTCTGCTTTCTTAAAACAGCTATTTTTAAAGTGCTTATATCTAATGAAGTGTACATTTTTCAAGTTCTACTAGAAGTCTAGCACAACACGTCTCAGAAGTGGGAATGTATAAAAGCACTTGATTTCTAAAACCTGATATATTTATATATATATAAAATATGTCTGCACAGCAGACCTGCAGATGACAAACACTTTGTGTTAAGTTTCTTGTTTAAAGCCATACCTTAAAATGACCTAAAAGATGAATAGGTTTAGAGTTGCTGAGAAACAAATGTAAATGTACTTTTATTCATCATTTATGTATTCATCAATTCACTCTATTTGTTTATAGGGCATGAGCACAGCCATTCTCTATTTAATGGTGGTCTCAGCCATGGGCACAGTCACGGAGATCATGAACATAAACATTCCCATGGGCACACTCATGGTCATGGCCATGGACACTCTCATGGTCAGGATTATTGTCATGGTAAGTACTGAGTTGATAGCATAGACCATCCTGACTCAATCTAAATCTGCAATTAATAACTTACTGAAAAATAAAAAGTGTGTTGTCAGCTTGTTGTGATCATATATGGAAGTGGCTTCATTAAATGTCTGTTTTGCTCTGCCACCACTATGTTTTGTGACTCACTTTGTGTTTCACTTGCAGTAATTTCAATGTTAGGTTTTAAAGACTTTGCCTTACCTCTGGTTTTTGAGTGTGCACTGTAATGTTGTGTGTTGCAAAAGATGGAACAGCTGTAATGCAATATAGTGAAATTAGTATTCATGTGACCTGTTTCAATTTTTTCATTAAAATGAATTGATAAAGTTGAGCTGTTTTGCTATTGTTCTGCATTTGTATAATTTTACAACTCAAGATATTAGAAAAAATGAATGAGTAAACTTTGGGTACTTATGGATTGTTAGTTGTACTTAGTTTGTACTTATCTCAGGACTTTCCCCATTTTGTGTGGTTGTAATCTGTTTTAAGATGGAAAAGATACTTGTTATGTTAGCTATGCTGAGATCTTTTCTATGAAGGCAAACAATCTGAGCAGAGACATTTATGTAAAATATGGTCAGCAGCCTTCACTATGGATGAAAAGGCTGTGTAGGTACCACCTATTTGAAGCAAAGCAAATGAAAGCCTTGTGGTAATGCAGGGGTGTCAGTCCTTCCTGCCTAAGCCATAAACTGAGATGTGACGTGACTCAAAATGTGCACATTCAGGGCAGGGAATAGTGTGGGAGCTGGCAGACAGGAGGTGACAAAGAGTATAAAAATATTTGCTTGTCCCTTCCTTGCTATTCTTAGAAAATTGGCATTTGTTTTCCAGTAGTTTTCCTGGAATTTGTTTGGAAAGCAGGAGCTCCCTGCTTCTGCCTCTCCCTTGCCTTCCACATGGCCCCCACCCTTGCAGACCAGTGAATGTGTCTTGTGCAGTTTGCTATTCAAATCAGCTGCTGTGTAAATTCTTGTATATCTTCACTAGAAGTCTTTTACTGTCCTTTAACAAGTTTTTCTTAAAATATCTTTCAGATTAATGCTACAGAGGCATTAATCTGCTTGGATGAGAAGATTTTTTACTTACTTGTTCCTTCTCCAAGTCTTATCCTTGTTTTTTTTTTTTACATTAGGTATAAATGCTTGCTTGAGTGAAGTATTTCTGGGTAGCAAATTTATTTATTTGAACCTACTCTTCTGGCTTGTGTTCATGGCTTGAGTTCTTGAGGGGTCTTATTTTGCTATATACTAGAAAGATCCTACCCCTCTGTTTGTAATGTAGATAATTTATTTTTATATATACCTATGTAGAAATCTATTGTGTAAAGCAATGTCATATTTTAAAAAATATACTCTTAAGACTTTTAACTTAATTGCTACATTAAAAAATAACAGTTTGAGTAAAAGCTGGTCATTGTGAGCCGCCTGTCTGCCCAAGACATTTCTGAAAGGATGAGTATAATGGACCACTAGGGAGAGCCTTTGTCTAGGTTAATATGTCAATAATTGCCTTCACAGATAACCATTCCCTTGAAGTAATGCCTGGATCCAGCAAACAGATTTTACAAGGTACGATGACAATAAGTATGATGGTTTATTGCTTTTATCACGGTCTGCCTGCCTGGGTCTGTCACACATCTGGTTTAGAGTGTTCCTCTGGATAAATGCCATGTTTTTCTTAAAGAAGCTGTTTAATGAAGTTCCATTCCCCCTGTTAGCAGCTCTGCTGTATCCTGTATATGATTAGGTGTTGAGACATTCACAGAAGTCTAAATGTAATGCAGTGTCAACACAGTTTAAAAGGGACATCCTGAAAGCTGGGATTCAGCTTCTGTTATAGATGCTGAAAAATCAATTAAAAGCTAGGAAAGAGTGGTTAAAAACAGAAATCTAAGGAGCCTAATTGCAATATATGTTCTGTAACACACGGATGCAGATTGATATAATTGTTAAAGAATACTTGAGCTTAAAAATTGCATTTCATCGAGTTCTTAGAGTTGGTTTAGAGCAGATGGTAATGCATCTAAATGTCTTGAAGTAGTATTGTAGTCCCTGATCTCCTGGGCATTAGTTAAGGATAATTCAGATATTGTTTTTTAGCTTTGGTTGGCTGTTTGTTGGTTTTATTTTACTTTTTTAAAATGTTCAGAAGTTAAAGAGGGCCAATTATGAGATGTAGGAGGTAGTAATTATTTAGCATACCCAAATGTACATAGGGTTTTCTCTTACTGGATGATTTTCTGGCTTGTTTGTAGTCCTTGAGAAGAAACATTTACAAGTTCTTCCAGAATTTACAGTACACTGTATTGTGTATATGTATATTCAGTATTTCACTTGAAGATATTTGAAAGTCAGTCTTTTTGTGACTCATTTTAATTGAAGCATATTAAAAAGATCTGATTTTATTTTAATTTTTGAATACTTAGGGAAAAACTCCACCAGGTGATGCAAAGACACTCACTGTGAGGACAATCACTCACAAGCAATCCCATCCCACCAGCAGATCAATGCCTAGGGAAGTCTGAGCAGCAGCTATTTGGGAAAGACAGCACTGCAGTCATATTGGGAGCATGGTATTGGATGAAATGTCCCTCTGGTCTGCCTGGCTGTGTGCCCTCCCAGCATCTTGCCTACCCCAGCCTTCCTGCTGTGGGGTCATGAGAAACAGAAGGTCTTGATGCAGGCTGCTGTGGAGAAACCCAGCTCTGTCCCAGCCAGACCCAGTACAAATACAGACTTGGAGAAATCCCCAAAGAGCTGGTTTATAGTGGTGTGTTTTTTTTACAAGAGAGGATTACCTGTCTGGAGAATGGCATTCAAAAAGCTGTTTCTGAATGACTTCCAGTCACTGCCAGCAGAGAGCTCCAAAAGCTAAACTTTGACTAGCTGTAAAGTGTGTGTTTCTTTGTACTTGAAGGCAGTGTTATTCTTCAGAATAAGAGTAAGGCTTTTCATGTCTGCAGTATTGTTAAATTCTCAAAACTTGAGATGTCTTGGATTTCTTTGCCAAATAACTTCTAGAAGGTGTTGTCAGTTATACATTAGCAAGTGTCAAAGCTTTATAGATGTGTTTCTGTTAATAGTCCGTCCATCTTATACAGAACTCACTACTGCAGGCATCAGGGAATGAGCTTCTGTGCTGTAATAAGGGTGGGTATTGAAAGAAAAAATTCCAGCTGCAGCTGTTAATCACTGTTCAAGTTAATAGCCTTGCTATGAAATACCCATTACTGCTAAGTGTCTAACAGAATGTAAATTCTTCAAATGGCCCATATTCTGCAAATACATTAAAATCTTTGTGTGCTTGACCCAAAACTGACCTCAAATTTTAAATGTATAGATCATATAATCTAGTTCTTGAAACTCCTTTTTGTAAAACGTCTCTGAAATGCTCCATTAGCTTTAAGAACAGCAAGTTGTAATGGTATCACTTGGTCTCTTACAGGTGTATTTCTGCACATTGTGGCAGACACGCTGGGAAGTATTGGTGTTATCATATCTGCTATACTGATGCAGAACTATGGTCTGATGATAGCAGATCCTATTTGTTCAATGCTGATAGCACTACTTATAGGTGTAAGGTAAGTTGCTGTCACTGGCATTTGGTAGGATTTTTAATGCTAATTACAGCAGAAATTGCAGCTCAGAAGAAAAAGGGGTTTTGTTATGCTAATGACTTACAACATTTGCTTTTCTTCCAAGAGTGGTGTGTTACCTCTGTTCTGTCCAGCCATTCTGGTGAGCTCTTGCATGAGCTATCTTTCTTTCCTTTTTCTACAGCTACAACTTTTGATTTTTAGTCTGCATATTTTGTCTTTCTTTGCATAATACTACAAAAATGTCTTTCAGGTTCAAACTGTAGAAAGCTTCATCTCTGTATTTAGTACATGCTTATATAAACCAATGTACTCCAGTAAATGGAGCAGAATGGTTTCAGGGCAGCAGAGTTGAGACTGCTGGCACAGGATGTGCCCTTGTCCTTGATAAATCAAGGCTGCTAGGTTTTAATTTTGTTTTCTTATCTTGACAAGAACTGTCTTTTCCTTTGTATCTGCCCTCTGAGACATTCCTTTTAAGATCTGATGGAAATGTTTCACGTACTTCTGGATTTCGCAGTTGTTTCTTACCAAGTTCACTGGGAATGTGAAGCTATTTGGATTAGACTGGTCAAGCAAAAATATTTCATTCAGTGATGTTATGAGGCTTTTTTGGCAGCAGTTTCAATGGTGCCATGGGGCAGCGTGCCACAACTCCAGTTACAACCTAATAACTGAGCACCTTTGTTCAGAGTGGTGAGTGTCATCTGATGAACTGCAGCTACTTCTGCTGATACCATGTATGGCATGTTTATGGCTTGTGCATGGCAGCATTCACAGCATTATTGATGTGAATCTCCCTGTTAGTCAAAGCAGGGCAGCAGGCTTCAGACACAACACCCACAGAAACGTCTGTGCTAGAAATCACGGTTCAATCACCGCTTTAATATAAACTTTGGAGATTTTGACTTGAATATTCTGTAATTTCATAAATGATAAATTATTACAAACTACTTCTAGTACTGAAATCTCCAAAAAAATGGGAAAGAAAATGTGCATGTTTCCAAGGGGGAAGAAACTATTGCTGAGGTAGAGGTAGTAGCTGAGTAAAACACAGGTTTCCATACACTTTGTATTTTAAGGGTCCAGCTTTGTGTACAGCAGAAAATACCACGTGAATGACAATTCATTTTTTTTCCATTTATGCAGTAGTTGAAATAACATGGAATTCCATAATAGAAGTGTCATAATAATGCTGTTTGTAGGTTTTCTAGCACAGGTAGAAGGAACATTTGAGCCCCATGTTCTATGCTGAAAATACTGGAGAAGTTCACTGTTTGATTTGTCTTTTCATCTGATGCCTGTAACGTTACTTTGTTGGTCCACAATGCTATAAATGATCAGTAGAATAATTCTGCTCTCAGTGCAGTCAGCTGCATCACAGTTGATATAAGCAAGCCTGCATTTCTTGCCAGCTGACACATCCTGGCACATCAGTGGAGCAAACACTACTTGCAGGGTTGGGTGGTTTTGTGTTGATATTTTATTTGTTTTCTAAGCAGTCCAACAGACTGACTATTAATGTTTTGCTTGAAATGCATTTTAAGATCATAAATAAGATTACTGGCAGTTTCAGATGGCTGTTGAGAACTTGAATCCGTTTTTGTTGTGTTTGACTTTAGTAATCTTCTTTTACATTTCTGGACATAAAACCACTGTTAATTTTGCCTTATTCTTCACTATGCTATGTTTGAAGTCTCCTTTAAGAATTAATGCAAAAGGGTTTTCAGATTTTCCCATAAGACTGTCTTCTGTAACAGTAATATGGGAGTGCAGGTGATGCTTGTTGGATGTACAATAGTTTTGTACTTAATCTTTTAAAGTCACCTAAATCTAACCTAGAGAAAAAAACTACTGAAGTTCTGTGAAATTTTAAATTTGAGGGGAATAACATTGCAAAAATACTTTAATTTGGTAATGACAAGAGCTGTGTCTAGTTCAGGGTGCAAGGGGGTATATTGGGGTTTTGGGGTTTGGGTTTTTTTAATTGTCTGCTCATGGGATACTTGTGGGTTTGAGGTGGGAAGGACTGGGATGTTCAATTTCTAGTACAGGAGTAGCTGTTGATTTCTGTGGGCCAATTTGAAACCTTGATAAATAATTTTTGGGGTAAATTTGGCTTCAGGTTATATAATTGTCTTCAGTTTCAAATGAATATTTGTTGATTTTGTTTGTGTCCCTTTTATTGTTAAACCAACTTTGGTAAGGTAAAGTGGAATAAGAGTATGTGTGTGCCCCAACAAGCAGACCCCATTCATGTGTGTTTAAAAACCAGGATCTGTTCTGCAATCAGGATTTTTGTGGCTATAATAAAAGAAACACAGTTTTGAGCCAGTCTGGTAAAGTAATTCAAAAGTTTTAATGGTATTTGGGGACTTTGCCCAAATTGGAACTGTATCCTCCAAGTTATTGCTTGATGGTCTGAGTTTGACTTACAGAGCCTGCAGTGTATGGATAGTGGGTAGGTGACATCCAGGACTTCTGTTTCTCTGTTGTTTTGTTAGGGTGTTTTGTTGTTGTGGGGTGTTTTATTATTTTTATTTTTATTTTAGTTTGATTTTGTTTTCATTTTTTAATCTCCATTCTTTCTATGATACTTTTGTATACAATGAAGGAACAAAGGCAGAACAGAAATCCTTACTGCCTTTTATGGAACTGTGTCTGGTGAACCAATAGAATATCAAAGCTATTGCATGAGAATGCAGAGGAAAATCATTGCTCTTAATCCAGGATTGCTTGTGGCTATGTGAGATAAGTGTTCATTCATTTTCTATTGAGTGTTTGTTTGCTTTAGTGTTGGGCAGCTCTCTCTGGTTTATTTGAGCCTTGCCTGCTCCTGTTAGTGGGTCTGCCCTGTTCAGGTTTCTGAAATCATAGCCATGCTTGCCAAAGAAATCACAAAAATACCTGTATAAGATGACAAAAAAACTCAGGGTGCAGTGTAAAACTGTACAGACTCCACTTTGTAACCTGTTTTGCTTTGTACACGTGCAGAAGGTTTAAGCAGTGCTTCTTCAGAGAAGTCAAGCTTTTAAATCAAATGGTTGAGCCTTCTTGGGGACAACATCTCTAATTAGTGCAAATTGTCAGCTGCTGACACAGTTGCTGTGTTGCTCCTGTGGCCCTTTGCTAAGGGTGCTGTAGGGTGACATTCTCTGCCTAACTGCTGATGAGTTAGCACAGAACATTCAGACTGCACACTGAAAATCCCGTGTGGGATCTGAATTTTCCTGAACGCAGCCACCAATATCTAATGACTCTTTCTTCGATTACTCTGTACTATCTCATGTAAATAAAGCATAAATAGGACATGCCTAAAATAGACAAGTCTGTCTTACTAGCATTTTTTTTTAACAAAAGCTTGACTATTGAATTGTTGTTTAGGTTGACACTCTTCAAGTTTTTTCCAAAGTGTTGTCCACGTAATTATATGTACCTTGAATCAATAAACAATTTCCCAACTCTCTAAACTGCTTTTAATATTTAAAACTAAATACTCATTTAGTTTTTAACCTTAGTATTCTAAGCCTTATTCTGAAATGTTGAAGCAATTTTAGTATTTTAGTCAGCTATATGAAACTAGTCACTATGCAAAAGCCACAACTCTGGTGTAAATCAGGTTTGTCCTAAACCACTATTAGAGCCACATGTTTCTAGAAAGGCACAGTAGACTAAATCTGATACTAGATTGCACAGAGCATGCAGACTTCATATTAAGTGGTCAAAGAAATGAGGCAGTTTAATCATTCAGTGGAGTTGTTTCCATGGGTTACATAATTTTTTGCATAAAATCTTGAGCTGATAGAATATGAAAGAGGTTTGGGGGAGGGTGTGCCAGTAACATTTGAGGCCTTTCATGTTTGGGGCATAGCAGTATAAAAAAATTATTTTTTTAAATGAAATATTGCATTCATTAAGATTGAGAAGGAATTTTCTATAGCTAAACTCCACACTAGTGTGCTTGTTGTTGGTGTTATTTTAAGCCATTATTGCTAAATGTCAAGCACTACCTTTATTTACAGGGTAATGGTACCTGCCAGCCTTGTTTGAGAGTCAAGGTACTACATTGTTATGAGAACAAAGAATTCAAAATCAGTAAAGCAAATGTTAAATCTCTGGTCCTTGTCTTGAGCAAAGCTTGCAGTCTGATTAAAATTGCCATTGGCTAATAAAAAAATGTTATTAAAGTTCTGAAATAGGCCAACAACAGTCTCCATAGTGCCATAGATATGGATGGTGGCTGGGAAAAAAGCCCAGAATTTGGAAAATTGGCTGTAGATTTTGAGCTATGGTATTTGAAGAACTCTAGCTGGTCTTGATCCTTAGAAATATTTGTTTACCTTCCACAAAACCTGTCACAATTACCCCCTCTTTTCTGTAGTGCTGAGAGCACTGAATGAATTTCCTGCTGCTCTCTGAGTGCAATGTCTGTCTAAAGGGTTCTTTACCCAGAGTTGTTTTCAGCTTTGCAGTCCAAGATCATGACAATGCCAGGGTCTTGCTGGCTATACCTACAAAAACAAAACAGGATGGCACTGGAATGGGCATGAGTTTTACCTGAATGTGGTACAGCTTAAATAAGAGTCTGCTGCTTTCACTCTTAATTTTTAATCAACCCACGTGTAGTAGTGGCAGGCTGGATTTATGAGATCCATGTCAATAGTTAGGTTTTTTTTTTTGTTTGAACACCTTTCACTTCTTCTGTAACAGTTTATATGCAGGTGTGATGTGCCATAGCATTTGCTGCCTTTGGTTTTCTGGTTTTTGTAGAGGGTATGTTTTCATTCCAAATCTTACTGTGGGTTAGTTCCTCTTTCAAATTTTATTGTCTTGTAAAAGAGTGTGATATTTTAGATTTAAGGCTTGGTAATCAGAAAGCAATGGAATTGTGTCTGCTTTAACAGCAAAGCTTACTGACTGCTTAAGGCATGAGAAAGCTTTCCACTTGGTGAGAACTCAGCATTATTTGTTTTCCTCAATAATCTTATAAATTAAAATAAACAACTGAAGCACCAGTGCAATAGTTGCTGTGGAGGCAGCCAGTTTTATTTTTTTCCACTAATGACTAAGCAGAAAAAAAGAGAAAGTTTGGTCAAAATGTCTAAGCATATTTTCAGCCAGCTTGGTTTTGTCATCTTCCCTTATGTTTTCTTCAGTCACATGAAGTGGAACTGATATTTCCAGTGCCTCCTAGTGATTAAGTAATACTGGTTGTAGTTAATGTTTGAGGAAAGAGCATACTTTGTGGAGTTTTGGTTTTTAAATTAAGGGCTTTATGCTTCAGTAATATGCATGAAACAATGGAAAACACCAGGCATCATAAAACTAGATTCTGTTGTTTGCTGTGTGAGCTTGGCTTACAGTAAGATACCATGGGAGTTAGTATCCCTGTGGAGGCAGAGGGGCATCCATGGCTGCCTTTGTTCTGAACACCATTTGTGAGGGCCTGTCACATCACTGCAGCTGGCTTTTGGCTTTTCAGCTTTGCAGAAGATAAACTTTGTATCTGAACACTGGCTCTAAGATACAGGAAAAAGGTGTGACCTGGGATGTGCTTCAACTTTCAACAGTGTCAAGCCACATCCTGATTTACTTCTATTCTTTGGACTTTTCAGATGTTCTTGTTTCATAGCCTGTCTCTTCAAATCTACTTTACAATTAATTTCTCTTCTGTCACATAATGTAAATCAGTTTTATTAAATAGTGTAAATAAGTTGTACAAATGAGAAATTTTTGTCAGCTTTCTTTCATGGCTTTTCTCAATCTTAGTGGTATGTTTCAATAAAAAGACAGACTACTAAATTCTCTATTCCTTGAGTTGTTTCCCTGGGAAAAAATATGCAGCCTGTATGTGTGTGGTTTTTGAAATCTTTGGATGCATATGCTAGAGAGGCCTTGTTAAATTTATGGGAATGGAGTAGTGTTCAAAATTCTTGCATTCACTTTGCATCCTAAAATTGTGTATTGGTCTTTCAAGGTTTTTATTAAGAAGCAAACCTGCATTTTAAATAGGGAGTTAAACTGAAATCAATTCATCAGTGGAGTATGTTGGCAGCTCCAGCTCCCTTTGATGTAATGCTTGTGACATGGACATTATTTAGTGAGATGGGTCCATTAATAAGAGAACCTTTTTTCCCTAAACTTCTGTAATCCACTGTAGAATGTGACACTCCAATTAAGCTTCCTTTGGACAGATTGACAGTTATTGCATTCTAAATGTTTGTCTTGGTGACAGGTCTAGTTTAGGCAACTCCTCTTGCCCCTAATTGCTTCTTCCTATTTCTGAACTAATGCCTTGGTGGCAGTGCAAACGTGGGAGGCCATGTGCTGGAGGGCACCAGGCAGTGAATTTGGCTGCAACAACCATTGTGCCTGCAAGAAGATTTAATTTTAGGGTGGTGGTTTCTCCAGGGGTTCATTAGACAAGAGTCACACAGCCTTCACTCCCTCCCAGCCTGGCCAAGGTTTAGCCAGGGAGTGAGCTGAGCAGGGCATCATGCACTGCCCCATGTTCAAATGGAAACACTTGTTAAAAAATGATTAGGTCATTTGTTCACATCTGCAAATACACAGCTGGTCTGTGCCATGCATTCCACATCACTTCAGGAGGTTTTAAACAAAGGTTCTGCAGTGTCCTTTAACAACCGGTTCAGTTAATTTCTTGCAAATGTTTCAGGTGTGCTTTTAATGCCATAACTGCGTGTACTGCAGCTGTGATGCCAGTGCTGAGCTCTGAAATGGAGCTTAGAGTTTCTGAAATATAGAATCACTTTCAGTCCGGAAAGTCAGGTCACTTGTATGCTCTTGAAACTAAATTGCTATTTAAGCTTTACTGTTGGGTACAGATACTTGTCATCCACTTGAAAATTTTAGAATGCTTTACTGAACCAGACATGATGCACTACTCCTAAACAAGAAAATCACCATGCTGAGCACTTGGAGTATAACCTATTAGTAGTAGCTTCAGGGTATAGGCTTACTGGTCTCCTGGTTTTATTAAAAACCAAAAAGTAATAATAATAAAAAAAGGGTATTAAATGTCGTCTTAGTTTGCTGATTAAACAAGACCATTTGGCCAGGAGGGAACCTCTAATTGCTTCCAAATGTTTAACCCTTGAGCTTGGATGGGACCCTACACTTATTTCACTTCAAGAATATGCCAAGTTGTCTGACAAAATAACTCTGTTGTAGCTGGACTGTTCCACACTAATTTTGTTTTATGATTACCCCATTATTATGTTAGTTCATAAGAAAAATATGCCTTAAACCAAACACAAAAGCAGACTCAACTTCAGTTGAGTATTTTTATGGTTGCATGTGAATGATTTGCCATTGAAGTTGGTTTTGTGCTATACAGCTGCTTTGTTGTATAACTTCCAAGACACCAAGAGATTTCATCTCAAATCCCGTGATTAAACCATTAATCTTTTGTGACTGACCACCAGTTGACTCTGGAAACAGTGGGGGAGAAATAATCTTGCCTCTGATAGGACACCATAGCAATTTTGTCAATCCTTTTATTTTCTGAACTGGGTTTTCATGGTGACTTTCTCAGCTTCTGATGGAAGAACTAAAGAAAAATTTCTCACGATTAAGATATTTTAAGTTGCTCCTTGCACCTTTTGAAAATGTAATAATAGTTAATTTCCTTTTTTCTTTCTAGTATTGTTCCACTTTTAAAGGAGTCCATTGGGATTTTGATGCAGCGAACTCCTCCTTCCCTGGAAAATGTCCTGCCTCAGTGCTACCAGAGGGTGAGCTCTTCAGCTGTTTTTGCTCTGACTGACCAAGCTGCTGGCTGAGCCTCAGCTGTGTGTATGAGGATATTTTATGATTTTTCAGTAATGCCAGTCAAAGGTACCTTAGAATACACAAATGGAGGTACCAGTTTAATACAAACTTTCCCAGAGTCCTAAATTGCATGTAGCTTCACCTCAGTTTGTGCTTTAAAACTGAAGCTATTCCTCCCAAAGTACTTTGTGCTTATACATAACTTTGGAATTGTATTTATAAGAATACAAAGATTACACTGGAATTGATCTGTTCTCCTACTTAACTTTTCTATTAGGATGCCATGAAGTGCTTTTGCAAAGTTAATACAAAGCACTTGGGAGTGCTGTCTCTCCTCGGGTGTTACAGGTTGTAATCATCACATGGAGGGTTTGCTGAAAGTGGAAAGAGGAAAAAACAAAGAGATTGGAAGAACTCATCTAAGCCCTCACAAAATTGTAAATTATATATAAATATATTTCTGTTAAAGTTAGAATCTCACAAATTGTTTCATGACAAAATTTGCACATCTGCAAAAAGGGCAGTTTTAACTGAATGCCATCTCAAATCCAATAACTGACTTTTCTCTTGTGAGCACCTCTATTTTCAGACGTGGTTTCAGTAAAATACATGTAGAATGTAAATGCAGCAGGGTACAAAATCACAACACATACAGAAAATCATGACACTGACACAAATCCTTATGTTTTCATCTTCCTTACAATAACTGAGATAGTAGTAAGAAATTTTGGTAAAAGATGACAAAATGCACAGTGAACTAGAAGTAAAAGAGTGCATTGGCTTTTATAATGCTTTCTACAAAAAAACATAGTACAGACTATGGTTTTCTGAAATACACTTTCTAAAATTTGCCTCTATTTTTAGGTGCAGCAGTTGCAAGGAGTCTACAGTTTACATGATCCACATTTCTGGACCCTCTGTACTGATGTTTACATAGGGACTTTGAAGTTATTAGTAGCTCCTGATGCTGATGGAAGGTGGATTCTAAGCCAGACTCACAATATTTTTACTCAGGTATGTCTTACCAGTGGAAATAACATCTCAAAGTGTAACGTGCTTGTTACATGATGTGACATTGTAATTCTTATCAAGAAAGGTTAAATATTTCTGAATTTGGTGTCTGTTTTGAAAAGCTTCCCTGTTCCAGCTGTCTAGAACAATTTCAAAATACTCAGTTGTGTAGATGGAATTACTGGACCTCTCTGCATTAGTTTTTCATGCCACTTTATGGAAATAACAGATGTAATTGTCTCAGGTGTATCAAAGGGGGTTGATCTGTAAGGACCTAAGAAAACAGATGAGGCTTCTCTTAGGATAGAGTTTGTCACCACAGACTGGACCTGCTCAGGCTTTTCACTACATTGGCGGCTTGCACATGTGATGGCTTTCTGGATAGATTCAAAATGTAGAACTGGTTTGAACAACAAGTCCCACGTTACGCTCTTGTGCTTAGCTCCATTTTAAACTGACAGTTCTTCAAGCAGCTTGCTTTTCAGGAAGTTAAACTAGCATAAAAGAAAATAAGAATTGCTTTTGTGCAGCTTCACATGTGGCAGTTATTTAGGATGAATCAGAAGAGGTAATGTGGCAGAGCTAATGTTAATACATCATTATGTGTGTGCACTTGACTGTGTGAAGAACTCCTTACTCATCTGGTGCTCTCTGAGTGATGTGCTAAATGTGGAGATGAATGACAGAAAAATAAGATGTTGAGGTTTTTTGCTAGGTCACATACTGATGTGGGCTGATGTTTAGGACAAGAAAGTGCTTTGGCTTTACAGTGTTTTTAACTCTCCTTCCCTTTTCCACAGGCAGGAGTAAGGCAGCTTTATATACAGATTGATGTTGCAGCCATGTAGTCAAATTCTGGAATGGTGCTGTTGGACCAAAGTTTTCAGTACTGTACTGGTGTAACAACACTTCATGAGACAGAGCCTGCCTCCACCACATCTGGAATTGACTGAATAGATTTCTGCCCTTGGGCTACGGAGGGAGTTCACTTCTAAGGAGTAAATATTGAATGAATGTTATGGACTTTGGGTCTTGTTTTTTTTGGGGCCCCTAAACTTGTAAGTTTTGGAGGGTTTTTTTACTTAATAAGATTGTGGTACTGGAAACCCTGTCATGTCTTCAGTAAAGCTGCTGAAACCACTGCTCATTCCCATAAAACCAGTGTTATTGGCAATTGGAAACTTGTTTTGTAGACAATGTCACAATGGCTGACATGCTTCAATATAATTGTATGTTTGTACAATTGTTTGTACTTTGCAAACTTAATGAACCAAACCATATTGGGTTTTCAAAGTGCCTTTTATATCAGGAGAGCTATTTGCCAGCATAAATATGGAGCATCAAAGGGTTTTATTACTTTTACAAATAATCTTGTATGCAGTCTGTTTATTTACTAGTGATGTATGTGGGGGGGGTTGTATACTTACATAACTGTAGATGTTAGACTTCCATTATATTTGCATCTTACCAGACAGAAAAAATCTAATTGTAAAAGGCAAAGATGTTGTGAAGAGACTTGCTTCTGAGACAAGCTGGGTATTTTGTTGCACGTCTTGTGAAAATTATTTTAGTCCAAATATTAGATTTAACTCCAATGAGTCTCTTCATACTGTTGAGAGTAATGAGACATTACATGATGCTGCTCATGTTCAGTCACTTAAACAATGGGCAGTTGATGGAAGATGCTGGTGATGGAAGCAATGCTTGAAGTTTTTTATTTTCCAAATTATGTGGTGGAAAAAACTAAGTCCTGAAATTGTGAAAGCTTAAGTCTCCTTGATTTTAATAGGTTGTTATAATTTTTATTAAAGCAATCAAGTTCAAATTTGCTTTTCCAAATGTTGAAAATAGTTGTTTCTGGCAGTTATACCCAAAATGGAAACAAGGACTGCTTTTCATGCTGTTTTAGCTTATGCTTTTCCCAGGTTGACAAATCTTACATCTTTGACTGTTTTACTGTAGCCATTTATGTTTTCATAGGGGAGACAGTTCTCAGTGCAGTAAGGGTTGTTAGATTGGTTTTTTTTCCAGGAACATTCTTCTGTCATATATTTTCTAGCATTTGTAATAATTTTACTCGGAATTCTGAGTGTCACTTCCAAAAGCAATCTGCTACATTTGGTATTACAGATGATAGTTCCACTATGCTGTAGTAGTTCACTTAGTAACTGAAGACTTTTTAAGAGGACATTTTACAAACAGAACATGGTGAAGTAAAAAGACAGGCATTTTTTCTGAGAAATCATAGCTGCCACTGATTGGTATGGATTTTATGTTTATTTTGGTAGCTGTCAGAAGTAATACTAAAATCATGGCTCTGGGAAGCTGACACTGTCTATGTAGTAAGTGCTAGGCACTGTGAAATTACTGAAGATTGATTTGCAGAAATGGTTTGTTTGCCACTGATATTGTTGAATCCATCACATATATGAAGAGTTTCTTGCATTCATTCTGTTGTTCCAATATAGCACTTGATTTCTTTTTATGTGAAAACACAACACTTGCCAAATTTGATGGTGGTTCCTGAATTTTCCCGATATTGATATTGAAACATGAATGTTGATTTTGTCCAAATCTTGGGGGTGTACTCTTGTGCTTGGAACTGGAAACCAGCTGCAGAAGAGTGGCAGTACAAAGCCACCTAAAATACTGGTTTTAATCTTTGCTGTCTCTTCCAGTCTTGAGATCCTTCCGTTGCCATTTCTGATCCTGTTTGCTTTCCCTGGGGACACAGGGGCCAGTGCCCTCCCAGCAGGCTGCATGTTCCCCATCTCTCTCTGCTGGCCTCCTGCCTGGCACTCTCAGATCTCTCCCTGTCCCACCTGGCAGATGCTGTGCCAGGCCCAGGGATCCTGGCTGAGAGATGGAAGTTACACAGCACAGGGTGGGGTGCAGAATCTGCTGAGCAGATCTGAGTGCTGCAGTTTAAGATGCCACGTGCATGTATGGTCACAGACAAGGTGATGAAAATCTGGTTGTGTTTTTAGGGTGGAGGTGCTGTTTTGTAGTGTGGTGCATGTAGACTGTGCTTACTGGCTGCCAGCAGGGCTTCCTCATTTTTTAATAGTTACTGTTACTGCTATTTGAAGCTGGAGAAGATCAACTGATACACTTTAAAGGCAAGCACCAGACAGATTCATTGCAATTGTGTACACTATTTTAGTTTCTTAATGAAAAGACAACTGCTACCATTTGTTTCCAAGTGAGAACCTGGCAGAGTGGTTGTTTGTTTGATGGTGATGATGGTGTTCTTTTAAATGTACATCTACCAAATTTTTAGTATGGGGAATGGAGTGAAAAGGCCTATAAGCCTATTATAATGATACAACGATTTTAATAACTTTTGATAATTTTTTTTTTGCTTATTATGAATTAGCTGATTGTTGGAAGCATATGTACAAGTCTGAGTTTTCTAGTCATGCAAGATAGCACTTCATTACGTTTAAACTTTTATAGTAAGAAATGTATCACTTGTGAAATATAATTGGGGTAGTGTAAGGAAGTCAGATTCAAAACAGAATTTAGCCTTATTAGGCTTTCTGAAAAAGGATAAGCATCACAAAATTCTACAAACACAGTGTATGACATGTTCAGCCAGTAACTGCAGTCACATGTAGTATGTCAGTAAACAAGGGACAGGATTTTTTTTTCACCTCCTAAGGAGATACTTGCTCAGGTTTTAGGAGAGTACAAACCATACAGTTGAAAGGGAAAGTGCAGCTTTCCTCATCCTAAGAGCCAAAGCACCATTATTTGTGTTTTGCTAATTACTTAACACTGGCTGCTTCTGTAACACTTTGCTATTGACATCTTATTGGAGATGCAAGACATGATTTAAACAAAGATTTGTGTGAATGACTGACATCCAGAGAGGGGTGAATGTCTGCAGATCATGTGCTAAAACTCAGCTTCCTGGTATCCACTTCTGAATTTTGAATCAGGTTTTCAAAGTGTTGTTTTCTCATGTTTTCATGTAGCTGATATTTACTGTGGGGTTACTGGTCTGGCTTGTTGGTTATTTTTTTCTGTGACTGAAACCAGTAACTTAAAACCCTATTGTTCCAAAGACCAAGGCTCCAAACTGCATGATTTTTACCACACCTACAGCAAAATAAGAAGATAAAACAAATGTTACAGTGTCTGTATTAAAACGCCTCACACAAATGTTTTTTGTGCTAAATAACAGTGGAAGAAAACTCCTCTTATGCATATGCACAGTAAGGACTGGTCCTTTATAGGCTCATCTGGTAGGTGTGCAGCTCTGGATAGACTGGCTTCTTTCATCAGGAGGGCCCCTACAGAGAGCTGAGTTATTCCTGTGAGTTGCTAAGCCAAGATGAAAAGTAAATAAACGACTCTGCTTTTTATGTAATAATGCCTACTAAAGCAAAAGAATTAGTAAAAGCTGCTGACACTATTTTTACACAAAAATTGAAGCTGCTACTACTAATAAAATGGACTTTAGTGACTTCACATTCTTAATTTTACTTTTTTTTAAAGAAGTAAAGCTGGGTTTAAAGGTGAAGGAAAATTAACAGTTTCTCTTTATAACGGTTGTAAGCGAACCTGTTCTGGGAATGTAAACAGGATACAAGAGGAGAGAATCAGCTGCTGAACTGCAGTTTTCCATCCTTTGCACATAGTGTGCAAACAAATTGTAAAGTCCATGGCTTTTCTTTACAGTGCAGATGGCCGTTGCAGTCACACGCTGCAGATTTTATTGCATGCTTTTATAAAATGCAAACCCTTATCTTTCTTCATGACATGAAGTCTTTAAATACCAGTTCAGAGCAACAATTTTAGTTAATAAATAAATCCTGTCCTGTTTTCTCCAGTAGCCATCAGATTATGATTCTTGATTATTCCACCCCTTTAAGCAGGATTTTTTTTGTTTCTTTTTTTTTGGTAATAATCTCTCTGATCCTCAATACTGACTCAGTAGTTAATTCCTCCTTTACACTTCTGTGAAAATCCTTATCTGCAGCTTGCTGGGGTTCCCTTTGGATTTGTCCCTTGTTCAGGCTTTGTTGCAATGCCCATCCCTGTGGGGACTTCCTTGGCCAGACACTGCTGTAATGTGAAGCAATGCCAGCCATGCTGTGCCTGGCATGCAAAGACTGAGTCTTGCTGTGTGCAAATACTTCTCAACCTGCTTGTCTGTTTCAGTGAGCCACAAAAGGTTCCTGCCTATGTGGTAATTTGGCGGAAATAATGTGTAAAAAGAGCTGGGTATTTCACTTCCCATGTGCATTGGAGCCTCTCACATGTATGCTGGGATCTTGTATAACACTTAAATGAATCGCTACGGTATCTTGGCTGAAGTGTGAAATAATGTGAATGAAGCAATTGCCAAAATCATTCCTGGTAGCATACAGCATATTGCTTGCCTTTACCTTTAAATTATAGGAATTACTCTTAGAAGTGAGCTTCAGTTCAACAACAAAGTGTGTCAAAGTACCTGTGAAGAAATCTTGCAGGTAACACAAGGCAGCTCACTAAAATTCTGAAGACTATGTATGATTTTGTTTTGGAATGCTAATGTTAGTAGCTTAGCCACGGCTTGTCCCAAGTGCAATATTAAGAAATTTTTAATGTAATCTTTTCTACTTGAATACAATCTATATAAAATGTTAAATATCCTATATTGCTGAAAAGCTATGGGATCAATTTTCTTTCCAATAAATCTTCAGTTTTAAAAAAATGTGTATACAGTTCTGCTGTGTTTTCATCATACTGTGAAGAACAGTTGAAATAGCAACCACCATCATCTACAAGCTGATTTTAAAAAGAATTCTTGCAGTCTGTTTGCTGAGACTTGGTTTGAGGTTAATTGTGGTTGCTGCAGCTGAGTCTAGCTCTTCATAAATGCTAAAATGCATACATTTCTGCATTAACATAGGAAGAAATGCAGTTCTAGTTTAAGTTGCAATCCTCTGAACTAAGAAATTCTGTGTGGCTTCTTCCCCCCTTTCACCAGCTGTCCAAAGGGAAAGTTCTTGGTTTTCATTGGTTTAGAGCACTCTCACCTGTCTGTATTTGCTCTCCCAAGGCAAAGATGGACACAGACATAACAGGTTTTGCACACTAATGTTTTCTATTGGTAAGAGAACTCCTAAGTTTCTGCAAAGTTGAAAGGCAAAATTTAGCATCTAATACACTTATAATGATGTATGCAGTAGCTTTGGTTAATGCACTACAGCAACTGATGCCCAAGACTGGTGTGGATGCCAATAACCTGAATCAAAGGTATAGAAGCCTCTGGAGATCTGCAGGGTAGAAGCTGATCCCAGCTGATGCAGTTTGCAGCCTCGGGTAAAAGCAGGTCCATGTTCCTGCAGTGTTGTCCTCTGAAGCAATGTGGAGTCTAACTACAGTTAGACAAGTCTTAAATAGTCACAGCAATATCTTTATGCTGTTAAGCAATTCAAGATGGAATAAAAATGCAAATGCCTCATTTTTATTTAAGTAGTCCTTTGACATGCATTATTTTCAAAACTGGAACTATCTACAGAGAAAAGTTTAAGCATTTCCAATTCCAGAGGATGCATAGTGCCTGTAACAATTAAGGAATGTAGTGGAGCACCCAGTTCTACAGTGGACATCTCCTGTAGTGTGCCTGAAGCAATCTTCTCATCCAGAGCACCCACACGAGCAAGGCCAACACAAATTGTGTTTTCAGTAATTTCTGTAAGAAAGAAGATTAAATGTTTAATTTCACTAATGGTCCTATTATAAGGGAAAAAGTTAATGTTTAAGTATTTTGAATACACTGATTTCTTAAACCTCAAATTATTAAATTATTGAAGTAGTCTAGAAAGAAACTTGCTCCTCAAAGAAAATAAAGCTTAAGGATGTTGGTAAGGAAGAACTCATTCAGGAATTGTGTTGACTTGGAGGAAACTATGCTGCTTCTGATTCATTCTATGTAAGGGGCAAAATGAAGGAATTTTCATTTTAACTGTCTTGAAGTAATAAACTTTTTAAATGAGGAGTTATTTAGATAAATTAGTCATTTAGGTAAATTCAAATTAGATGAATTTGTTTGAAAAAATTTTTGTGACACAACTGCATCATCTTTATTAGCTGCTGTGATTTTACCCTTGGTCTCAAGAAATTTTTCAGTTTGCTCTTGACCAGTGTTAAGAATCAAGGTGAAAATCACAGTTCTGCATCTTTGGGTTAACCTAGATATTCTTGCTGGTGTTCACACAGAGCAGAGTGTGACCAGTCTAAGTAAAACAGAGCTGAGGTTTTTTTTGAAGCTTGACTGATCTAAAATGATCAGAATCCTTCTGCCTCCTGCAACTCTAATGCCCAAAGAGCTCACAGTTCCACATGGATAGAAACAGTGCAGGGTTTCCAGACTGAGGCTTTGACTGAACCTCCAGGAGCCACCAGTGCACCCTCATTAATGCTCACTGAACTGTGCTGTGCTTAAGCTTGGCCAAACCCATCTTGTGACTAGGATTTAAGGCAGCCCAAATCCACTGCAGAGCAGAATTCTGGGAGTCAGAGGAAGGGACTGGAGTTCAGAGGCTCATCAAGAGGTGTGACTGGAGGTGGGTGGTAGCAGACAGAAGCAGTGCAGTCATACCTGGTTTTTCTCCTTGGAGCCTTCTGTTTTGAATAATAGCAAGAAGCTGTTCTGCAGCTTGATTCACACTCATATAGCGCGGTGGCTCATAAATCTTTCTTCCTCTGCAGGGAAGGAAAAGCAGAGAAATTTCACATATAACCCATTTTGTTATCCCCAGCAATCTTATAGCTTATTTCAAGAGACCTCTAGACCAGCAGGTTCAACTTAAATAGGCCCAGGCTCTCAGGCTGGATCTTTTAGACAAGAGTGGAATTTTTAAAGAATACAGAAATCTGTTGTGCTCTCACCCCACCTGTGAAACAGCTGGGCTCCAGCTGCCAGATCATTTAGATCCTAAAAGCAAATTCAGCTGCTAGAAGCAAGATGCAGGTTTTGCAGCTACTCCTGAAGGATGCATTAGACTTAAAACCAAGGGCATACAACTGTTTTTCTGTTAAATGCCCTGTAGACAGATGATTACAGACTAGAAATATATTCTTAAATGAAATGCTGCTTTCTTTGCCAACTGTGGATTCAAACATATTTTATTTTGAAACTCCAGAATAAACAAACCTCAATGATACTGTGAGACTTCACAAATGTTAATTTAGACCAGTTACAGCATGTGTATAAAGGAGCCATTTATATTCACCACTGTCAAAACATACAGATTGCAGAGATGAGTAAGATGTGGCAAAAGCTTTTTGAATACAGTTAAATGAGCATAAAAGCATTTTCTGTATATTGCTTATTTAACTCTTTAAGAAGGGTGTTATGTATTCTGCACTTTGCACTGTTCCAGCCAGTGTACAGAAGAATAAATTTACAACACTGTTTCAGATAGTAATATTTTAATATTAAAATTAATATTAAATAATTAATATTAATTTAATATTAAAATTAATCTTTTTGTTTCAGGAGGTGACAGAACAGTAGAGAAATAACACTTAATTCACCAAGAGGAAAGCCTACCCCTTTCTGACTTAGTGCTACTTACAGAAACAGTTACAAAAAATATCATGTTCTGCTGCAATTCCATTCAGTTACTGTAAATAAAGCCAGGCCCTATTGCAAAGAACAAAAGAGTTTCACTCTTTGTAAGAAACAAAATTCAGTGGCCACCGAGAAGCACGAGAGGAGAAGGCAGGAAAGTTCAGTATTAGACTGTGGGCAAAGAACCTTTGTTCCTTGTACAAAAAAAGCCTTTGTAGGGGCACTGTGTGTTTCTATATAGTTTCAAAATGATGACTCACTTCATGAGATTCTCCAGAGACTGCTCCTTCACTTTAATATCTGTAGAACAAAACACATTAAAACACATGTTCCCTACAAGTTTTCTATTTAGTTTTCTATGTAGGTAAAGCTTTAACAACACTTAAGCTATTATTAATATCATAATATTATTATATTTAGCCATTAGAATATGGATCACACTGTACTGTTTCATCTGTTAGTGAATCTCAAAATCCTGTGACTTTATGCACATGATTTTACCCAACAACAGGGGTTGATTTCACAGATTTCACACAGATTTCAGAGCAACACAGTCAAATAAAAATCCTGGTAAATATACAAATAGGGATATTTACCGTAAGATAGGTAAGTACTAGTACATTTGAGCACACAGTTGATTGAGACTACTCAAATTATGACCACACTATGTCACAGAAGGTAGAAGAGTGACTGCTCGACAGTGATTACATCACTGTCATGGCAGGAACCTGATTTTCGTTAGCACTTCCTTCCTGTCCCAATCAAAATTTAGAACAAGCTTCTGTTATGGGAAAAAAAAAGGATTTGGGCAAAACTGAAATAGAGAAGGGGTCAGGTAGGTAGGACATTGCACAGCTGCAATTTTATGAAACAAATTGACCATAATATTTCCAAGAGGAATTCAAACATTACCTGTACTCAAATGCCCCCCTGCCCAAATTATCATTCTAAAAGCTGGATACATTTTTAACCTTGGATAAGATTCCTTGTTACATAATCAACTTCTAAACAAAGTGACTCAGAGGAAAGGAGTTAAAATGCAAATCCCTAAGATCTTAAGTGCCCAGTTTACCAAATTGCTTCTACATCCATGAAGTCACTTTCAGTTCAGAAGTTTATCACCTTTTCAATATTACATTTGCTTATCTGGAGATCTAGTCAGTTGGGTAAACACTCAATGCATAGACTAAAAGGCAGGAGACTGGCTGCTTCTCACCAAGTAAGCACAGGGTGTGCATTCCATTCTGCCTGTTCTTCTCAATCTTGTCAAAGAAGCTCTCTGGCTTCCATGTATCTGTCCAGAACACTATGGAAACGGTTTCTCCAAAATTGTACAACTGTAAAACAGAGCAAATGCAGTAACACACATGTGCAATAAGAAAATATGAGCATGCAATCATGTTAAAGACCAAGTCATTAACTACCTGTAAAGGTTTTATTGCATTCAACTTTCCAATGCATCATTAATAACTTTCAATATACTTTCTATTGTTACTTAATTCTTTTAAAGGCAAATACTTTGTAAGATTAGCACCAAAATTATTATTTGTTATTTCTTACTTTCGTTAAGGTTAGACAGCTTTGAATAATACCATAATTCAATGTTTTGATTCTACTGATACAGTAGTGTTTATATTGAAATGGCATTTTGCTGCAGATGGAAGCTCTAGCAGACAGTCCCAAGAGACAGTGGATATGAAGATCTGAAGACAGATTGTGCAGGAAGCAGAGAGGTACAACATGGTTTATGCACATATGGTAAGAATATTGCTAGCAGAACACTGCTAGCAGATGCTATGTCAGGCATACTCACTGACTCTGTTCTCAGTCTTAACACATTCACTACCCTAAGTCCCTCATCTTGGTGAAGACATTTGAAGCAATAGTCTTGCCAATCATCTCTGGTGATGCAAAACTGAAAGTCATATGTAATTAAGGCAGTATTTGGCTTAGAAGCAGTTTTTGCCCTGAAATAGGGGAAAACCATGCATCACTTTTGGTCTGTTTAGCTCTGGAATGGGGTCACCCCAGATGGATTTTACAGCTTGGCAATATTCTGTCTGCTCAAGCCCACCAGAGAAACAACAGCTACATGGACTTCCTACTTTCTCTGTACTCCTGGGAGGAAAAGC